CATGTGATATGCTTCGCTAATATTGGGTGTGCTACTGAGAATCCTTCATGTGATTGGAATTATGAACCATAGAGAATGAAGTTGTATATAAGTGGCTGTACTCCTCTATGCAAATATGATTATTAATGCACTTCATAAACTCGGTTAACATCTTTTGTTGTTGTAGGTTGAGCATGTATACAAAGAGATCTTCTCAGAGGCCCTAAGTATAGAGCTGCAAACGAATTGAGCTGAGTCAAGTATGTGAGTGTTCACGTTTGAGTTCATTTATTATTAGCTTGTTCAAGTTCGGTTCATATTTGATTCGGGCTTTATTGTTTGTCTTCATGTTTGACTTATTTTATTTAATGAGTATTCATGTTTGGTTCATGTTCAATTCTTGTTTGATTTGTTTAGTGCTTATCGAGTTTTAAACAAATAAGCTTTAACGAGCTATGTTCTTGAACATAATTAGCCATCATCAAAATCCTCTCAGATCTATGAGAAATTATTCTCTGTGGAGTCCAGACGTAGCTCTACATCCGAACTCCAATACAATGCCGCCATGTAGTGGCCTGACGACTTGACAATCAGACCAAATGAAATTATATATAATATTTGTCACGTATTTTCCAACTTACCGAGCGACCCGATAACCCGACTTTTTCCCGACGCAAAAAATTAAGTTTTACTAAAAAGACAGCCAATATCCCTATCACTTCATGCAGACTCTTTTGCAACACCTGATGCACTCAAATCCATCATATGCAAATACACTGTAGCCTTTTAATATTCTTCTTGTTGAGAGACAAACATGCATGATTGATGAGCCTAAGAGCAGAGCTTCACATTAAAATAAACTGAACAAACTCAGATTAAATCAATTTAATCAAAATGGTTGGATCAATAAGTTTAATTAAAACAATAAATGATACATTAAGTAATTTACACCAGAAGATACAAAAGAACTAAAGAATGATTTCCTATGATAAAGCTCAGTAAGGGGACAATTCATTATCAGTGAATGAGATAAGTAACGAGAAGGGCGATGAGCATGAGAGCATAAGCAATTCCCTGATCTATCATCTTCCCATCATTGCTGATTGGCGGTGGGGCAACAGCTGGTGAAGGCGCCATGATCTGACCATATGAGAGCTCTATAATCCCAGACAAAAAGAAGACGAGGAAGATCAGAGCCCAAGCTTTAATGGAACTCATCTTTTTTTGCTTCAGACAAGTTCTGAATGTCTCCACCGAGAGAGGTAAAAGACTAAAGAAAATTTGAGGAACTTAGATTTTGTAGAGAAGAGAAGTTAAGAGAAAGCAAAGTTATGAAGCTCTTCTTATATAGATGTTGGAATTCTGACCAGGCAATTGAACGCTGAAATGAATAAGTCAAAGAAGTTTTCTTTGAAGACTTGGTCGTAATCTGCAATTAAAATTTGAAGTTTTAGTAATGTTTTCACCTAAAATAATTGAATTTAATATTATTTCTTTTAAATTGAATGTATTTAATGGTTATTTTATAAAAATAATAACAAGTTCTGCTATGTCCACCATCTCTTAAATTAAAGGCCACTTCTTTGTCCAAGTCAATTCAAACTTCGGTTGTGTGGAGAATTCCAACTTATTCATTGAGCTCCCACATCTATATAAGAAGAGCTTCATATCTCTGCTTTCTCACATCCAATTCTTCTCCTAATTGCTTCTCTTCTCAACAGAAGCTTAAGTTTCATAGTTTTTCTGTAGCATAAGGTGGCAATCATCAGAACTTTTCTGAAGTACTGAAAGATGAGTTCCATCAAAGCTTCTGTTCTGATCTTCCTCGCCTTCTTTTTGTCTGGGCTTATGGAGCTCTCATATGGTCAGATCATGGCGCCTTCACCAGCTGTTGCGCCGCCACCGATCAGCAGTGATGGGAAGATGATAGATCAGGGAATTGCTTATGCTCTCATGCTCATCGCCCTTCTTGTTACTTATCTTATTCACTGATCATTGATACTTTGAACTTGGCATAGAAAAAAAAAATTAATTCTTTTGTATTTTCTGCTGAATGAAAATGAAACAGATGTGTAAATTAAGTACTTGATGTAAAGAATTAACGTGGAGCTCTTCATGGATTGTTCTAATTAATCTTACTTATTCAAATTTACTCTCTGTGCTTGTTCATTTGAGTTTTGCCCATATTGCCTGCTTTTAGTACTGCTTCATTTATATTTGTTCCCTTGCACAAATAATATCAGAAGGCAAAGAGATTTTTAAATTTTATCTAGAAATGAGTAAAATTCATGCATCTTAACAAGGCAAACAAGTATTGTAGTTTGTGCAAAGATTTTACCTACAAACCTTTTGGGGTTGTCTCTTGGCTGGTTTTGAACAGGATCTGAGCAAGTTTAAACTCATCTTGTCAAACAGTTACCCAAAAAAAAATCCTACAGATTGTTATATACTGTCTTAAATCTAAAATTTAATAAATTTGAGCATTCAGTGAATTTAACTTAGATTTCATTTGTGACCGTTTTCTTATTGCTTTCTAAAACAGCTTTTTTGGACAAAAATTCTTAATTCAAAAATTTTTTGAATTAGAAAACTGTTTTAGAAAGCAACAAAAAAGACAGTTTTCTGAGTACTTTATGAAGCAGATTTTAATATTCATATCAATAAAAAATTATTTTGATCGGGCACGAATTTCAAAGCAAAATCAAGTTGGAAATTTCAAAAATTAAATCGGAGACCATATGAACTCCGGTTTCAGCAAACTTATAGTCGAATTGAACGAACAAAAAAAAAAAAATATGAACCCAACGACACCAAATTCGACTCAATCTGAGCTCAAATGAGTCCAAATCAAAGATCCGAATTGCATTTGGAAGATTCAAACCATAATTTGAATTATAAACGGTTTCCAAACGTGACATGCTTATAGTCAAATCGATCGGCTCGACGAGACAAATCCAACGAGCCCAAGATCGTTGAATTTTTATATAATTAAGACATTCAGAAGCTCAGTAAATGGTCCATGATCAAGGGATTCAACATTGGTCATCCATCCTAACAACTCCAAATTTATCCTTGATCTTTCTCCTATTTATAGGCCATGCAACTCTCAGAAAATTATAAATAGACCCCTCATTTCTCAAAGAAATGAACCCCCAAAAGAGGGGGAAGAAGGGAGCCCAAACAAGAAGAGAAGAGAAGGAAGCAAGGAAGAAAAAGAAGAGAAGAAAGAGGCTCCTCCTCGACCACCGCCGGACTTTCACCCGACTATTGACCAACGCTAGAGTTTTGTTCGACCACCAACTAACGCTGGAGTTCTGCCCGTCCGCTGGTCGTCGTCGGATTTCTACCCGACACCGGACTTCCGCATATCTTCAGACTTATGCCTGACTTATGTCTATCGGCAGACTTCTACTCGACACCAGACTTTCGCCCGTCATTGAATTTCAACCCAACGCCAGACTTGTAATATCATTGAGTTAAGAATTTGAAAGATCAGTTCAGTAACCTAATCCAAAGCCAGATCCTGGTTAAGAAAGGTCTCTCGTCGCGATCCGGCTCGGGCGGGATCCGTCCCCGTCGGGTCGGGTCGTGACAAGACTTATGCCCGTCTTTGAACTTCTACCCGACCACCAACTTACGTTGTAGTTCTGCTTGTCCTTTGATCGTCGTTGGATTTCTACCCGACACTGGACTTCTGTCTATCGACAGACTTATACCTATCGCCAAAATTCTACCCGACACCGGACTTCTGCCCGTTGACAGATTTCTACCCGATGCCAGACTTATGTCAGTCGCCAGACTTCTACCAATCGCCGAAGTTTTACTCGACCACCAACTGAAGCTGGAGTTATGCTCATCCGCCGATCATTGTCTGATTTCTACCCGACACCGGACTTCCACCTATCGTCGGACTTATGTATCGTTCGACTTATTCCTATCGCTGGATTTCTATCCGACGCCGGACTTCCACCCATCACCGAATTTCTACCCGATTCCGGACTTATGCCCGTCGCCAGACTTCTGCCCGTCATTTGAATTCTGTCCGACCACCCAGCTAACGCTAGAATTTTTCCCGTCCGCCGACCGTCGTTAGATTTATATCCGACATCAAACTTCTTCATTTCGCTGGACTTATGCCTTTCACCGGACTTCTACCTGACGTCAGAATTCCTCCCTTTGATGGATTTTCATCTGACGCTGGACTTATGCAAGTCGTCGAACATTTTCCCATCGCCAGAGTTCTGCCCGGCCATCAACGGACATCGGACTTTTACACGGCTACCATTTGACATTAGACTTCTACCCAACTATTGATTAATGCTAGTTTTTTCTGTCTGACCACCAACTAATGCCGGATAAAAAAATTTTAAAATTGATTGTATGATTTTTTAGGTAATTTATATCTTTTCATTTTTTTTTAGTCTTTATTACAAGTGTTTTTAGTCCATTGCCCCCTAAAAGTTTTAAAATAATGTGGTTTTTAGACGATTGCCCCAACAAAATTAAACACATTGTGTAGAAATGTTATTGTTAGACATCGATGAACCAAATACAAAGAGAAATAGCAAAGAGAATCCAAAAATATCCTTACAACAAAACCCCGCTAGGGGTTGCTGCCCCCTTGGACCCTGACATATATGCGAAGCGTACAACGATGAACAAATAGAGGTAGAGAGGTAGCACCCTCGGAACAAGTTTTGATTGCAAGGATATTTATGGAAAAAAATCCATAAAACTAAGGTTAGATCCGCCCCTACCAGCCACATTTAAATTCTATCATGGTTTTAGTTCCTTTTTTCTATTTTCAAATTTAGATCTTCGTAAGTTAAAATTTTTACCATATTTTGTTGGGTTATCTGTGCAAAACTTGTAGCTCCATATTCCTTCTGAGAAAAGGCAATAGATTCAGTGTTTTGCCAACAAGGATATTAGTTTCATCAATTTTATAAATAAGGATAACTAATCACAATGTTTCTTAAGTTCAAGCAATGAAAAAAAATTTCCATCACAAAGTTTAATGATTAGTGAATAAGATAAGTGACAAGAAGGGCGATGAGCATGAGAGCATAAGCAATTCCCTGATCTATCATCTTCCCATCATTGCTGATCGGTGGCAGCGCAACAGCTGGGGAAGGCGCCATGATCTGACCATATGAGAGCTCCATAAGCCCAGACAAAAAGAAGGCGCGGAAGATCAGAGCAGAAGCTTTGATGGAACTCATCTTTCTCACTGTGAGAGGAAAGAGGCTGTAAAAAGACTGAAACTTTAGCTTTTGTAGAAAAGGAAAGAAATTAAGAGTAGAAATAGATGTGGGAAGATGAAGTTATGAAGATCTTCTTATATAGGATGTGAGAGCTCCATAGATAGATGTTGGAACTTGATCTCTCTACTTAATTGAAAGCGGAGTTGACACAGACAAACACGCGTTCTTTTAGGACTTGGTAATAAAACGCGGCAAATAATTTATAAATTTGGAGCAAGTCAAGTGTAGGCTAATTAGAAGTTTCTTGACGCTTTCCTATAAACAAACAATTTAGCTTCAGGAGATGGTTTAGTTTCAAGTAAAATTATTATATAAAAATGTATAGTTTTAACATACTATGTATTAAATAATATTTTTATCACATTTATTTTATTAAATCCAAAGTAAAAAAAAAATGCTACGTAGTATATAACTTTTTTTGTAGAACCCGTTGGTTCTTTCCAAGCTAGACCGGTTCAGCAGTACTTCACCCGTTTTTTGCAGGTTCAATTCGGCTCGATGTGAAGCCGATTTTGTAAGATGGATCAAACCGGCCACGCGACTTATTCACGGTTGAACCGGCTAGTCTGCTCCTGTTTTCAAAATAGTGCTATTTAGTTATAGTTTGTAAAAATAGAAAATTATTAAAAAAATTCACAAAGGGACAATGCTTCACACACCCTTATGTTTATAAGTCATTTCTTATTTAAAAAAATTATTGTTTGAAAAAAATCAGCATATTAATTAATTAACTAATATGTGTATTGAAAGACGGTCTTAATTATGAATGTAGAATTTTATTGATGGACTATTTCTAAATTATTGTCGTGCTTAAACACACTAATTACTGCTAATAAACAAGAGATTGTTGTCAAATTTTTAATCACTTATTATTTTTTTTCATTTATGAACTTATTCACTCCTTTCTCACAATACAATATTAATTGGAGGTTGTGTGCAGGACTTTAAATGAATCAAGATGACTTGTGGCTGGTTCGAGTTATGTTCAATAAAGGGCTTATGAGCAGAGCTCAATGAGGTAACAACCGAGTTGCTTGAGTTAGTCTCGACTCAACTTGCTATTATAACCTGTTTGTTTAAAAAATAATTACTATAAAATCTACTTAAAATATATTATAAGTAAGTTGGAGCTCGAACTAGATTTTGAATTATTAATCAATCTTAAGCTCAAACTAGGAGTAACTTAAGCTCAACTCAACTCGTTTATATCCCTGGTTTTTTGCTCATCTAGTTTGCTAACTTAGGTAACTGTTGCAGTTTCAAGACTAACAATGAGTTGATTGAAAGATATGAATTTTGTGTTTGATAGTGATTTGTAAGGAAAATATTGTTTGTAGAAGACAGCGTGTCGCGAAATATGGATTTTGTTGATGTGTATGTTAAGACAATGATAGCCTTTATGGCCTGATGAATACCTGAGAAAGATGCATTATTGAGATTGCGAAGCTCATTTGTTTGGAGCATATGGTTTTAACCAAAGAAAGCATAAACATCCGAAGGTCCGAAGATGGATGTATGAGGGAATTGTTCCGTGAAGCAGCTGATAGGGAGTGTGAAGGGAAAGGACTTTGGAAGGGAGTCTATTGATTAGATAGTTTGCCATGGAGAGAGCTTCGGCCCAAAAGGGGGCTGGTAGGTGAGCAGCATGAAGAAGGGTGCGAGTGAGATCCAGAAGGTGGTGATGCTTGTGTTATGCTAGACTGTTTTGCTCGGGGGTATGAGGACAACTAAGTTGGTGAGTGATTCCGTTATTAGAGAGAAATTCTTGAAACAAATTACTTGTAAATTTGCCTCCTCCATCCGATAAAAAAACTTACAGCTGAGTGTTAAACTGATTTTTAATCATAGCACCTAAATGTTTGAATTTATAAAGGTTTCTGGTTTAGAATGCATAAGATAAAATCATGAAAATCTAGTGAAATCATCAATGAATAGCACATAATATTTGAAACAGTTAAAGGATTGGTGAGGTGCAGGACCCCAAACATCAAAGTGAATAAGTGAGAATGGTGTAGAGGTGACAATGACACTTTTATTAAATGGTAGAAGTGCAAACCAAAGAAGAAGAAGAAGAAGTACAAATGTTGGGTATGTGCTGAGCTAAGATGGGAAGGAGCCTCTGGTGAGGGTGTCCTACCTGAGCATGCCAGAGGAGGGTGGAATTGGTAGTAGCTTGAAGGGCGGCGCTTTGAGTTGGGGGAGGTATATGAATCTGGCCGGTAGAGTCTGTTATGAAGTAGACCACGTAGAAGAGGATGATTATCATGTAAGTCCTTAATAAGAAATCCATTAGCTTCGAAATAAATTGAAACATGATTATCGGCTGTTAATTTAGAAATGGAAAGAAGATTGTGAGATAAAGAAGGGAAGTGGAGCATATTGCGCAGGTGAAGCTTACGAGCAAAGTCGGGTAGAGGGAGCAGTCCTTGACCAGGGTTGTGGATCAGAATGGAGGTTCCATTAGTGATTGAAACTAAGTCGGCTTCATGATAGGAGGTGGATTGTTGATGGTTTGTAATGTCTGGTGTTAGGTGCGTGGAGGCTCCCGAGTCGAGTACCCAATCAAATGAGGAGGTGGGTTGTGGTGAGAGTGCAGAGCGTGGATTTGAATGGGGTTGGTGATTCGGTATTTGATATTGCACCGATGCCAACAATTGAGGGATGAATGCCCAGTTTTCCCGCATATTTGACTGACAGGGTGATCGGTGTTGTGTTGAGCTAGTTGTTGTGTGTTCGTCGAGTTGTAAGACGGGCAGGTAGCTGAGTTCCATCCTTTGGAGAAGCGGGTGTAGCTTCGACCGTGAGTGTTGTATATGTGAGTAGTCTGAAGATCAGTCGTGTCCGAGTAAGATTTTGAATATTTTTGTTGTTCGGTTTGGAGGTTGATTTCCATGCTACACAGTAGCGAGTAAAGAACGTTGAGATCGATCGGATTGAGGGAGGTGGGGCTAGCTATTTTGAAGGAGTTGTAAGAGGAGGGGAGGCCGTTCAAGATATAAATAATGATATCTTCTATGCCAATTGTGGAGACGACTGCTGCGATAATTTATTTTTGTAAATTTTTGATAATTTTTTTCATTGTAAAGCATTAATGGTGGGGCTTTTTCCAGTGGACTGAAAACCTTCAGAAACATTCTGGCCGGGAAGTTAATTTATTGACGGATTTAGATGGATTTACAATAGTTTTTTCACGTGGGAAAAATCTATTTTTTCTCGTTATGCTTGAGGCAATGATGACCATTGATGGATTTTCCTAAGGATTCATATTCCTTCTCAAACACACAGAAATGAAGTACGAAGAGTACAGCTCCCCAATAAAAATACAAGGAACAAACACAAATAAAATCAATTTAAATGATTGGATCAATAAGATTTACATAAAAATCTCCATGTTAATTAAGCCTTTACATCAGAAGAAGATACCAAATAACCAAAGAATAATTAAATTTTTTATGACAAAGTGATCAAGTGAGGTGACAATTAATGATCAGTGAATGAGATAAGTAACAAGAAGGGCAACAAGCATGAGAACATAAGCAATTCCCTGATCTATCATCTTGCCATCGCTGCTAATCGGCGGCGGCGCAACAGCTGGAGAAGGCGCCATGATCTGACCATATGAGAGCTCCATAAGCCCAGACAAAAAGAAGACAAGGAAGATCACAGCACTAGCTTTGATGGAACTCATCTTTTTAGTGCTTCAGAAAGCTTTGCAGCAAATAGAAAAACTGTTGAACTTTGGGGATGTGAGAAAGCAAAGTTATGAAGCTCTTCTTATATAGCTGTGAGAGCTTGAAGGATGGATGTTTGAATTCAAATAAGGCAACTGAACGCTGAGTTGCACGAGTCAAACTTAGTGTGCTAAATAATTTATGTATTTAGAACACGACTGTAGAAGAAAGTTTGACCAATGATTGCGGTAGAAATTGTACGCTGAGATGAATCAGTCAAACATCAACTGCGGGAGAAATTTTTGGAATAAGTCAAATAGATTAAAAAAATAGTTTGACCGATAATCAAATTAAATTATTAAAAATAACAGTTCTAACAAGCTACCAAAATTTTAAATTGCAATTACACGCAACTAAAATTTTAAATTATAATTTTATCCTTGGACTATTTGTAAATATCTGTTTGAGACGATTATAATTTTTTATAATGATAATTATAAATGAGTTATAGAGATTTTTTTAAAGTTGCTAAAAAATCAACTTTCTCACATAATTTTTGTGTTAAAGTAGCCAACAAATAGTTTAGCCAAATAAAAATCTTTATTGTGATATGAAAAGCAAAAGAGTAAGAAAGTTGTCTCAAATGAAGCATAAATTGAATTCAGACCTAAATAAGTGATCAATGTTTGATTCAAGATTACAGGCCAACACATTATCTTATTTAGGATATAATAGTAAAACCAAGGCTATTATTGCTTGGCGGGTCAATTATTGACCTGACATGATAACCCGATCTAAAAAATTTGGATTCGGGTCAATTGTTTAACAAATGAGTTGGGTTTAGGTTCAAATTTACGTTCTGTTTAAAAGACCGGATTGGGTTTGGGTTAACTTGCTAATTCAAAATTGACCAAATTTTGATTGTGCACCAACTTTCTTGCACCCTCACCCACATAAGTTCAACTCCACTGCTACACATATGCACCCGCACCCAACACCATGGAAGTTGCTCGCACCCATCACCTAGGCTAGCACTCCGCACTCGCTCTCGCATCGGATAGCTCTCGTTGGCACCTCACCCATGCTAGCTAGTGTCACGCACCTCACACCCGAGCTCGCCCTCAGCGGCCCACACCCCTCACTGGTTGTTGCCCTGCTCGCAACCTAGGTTAACGTGACGAGTCGAGTCAACCTAGTATCCTAGTGGGTCATATCCGGGTCTAAATTCCCGAACTGTTTGCCTAATCATGACATATTCAAATTGGATTTGTTGAATGCAAGTTAGTTTCGAATTGGATCCAAATCCGACCTAAAAACCCATTATGACACCCCTAATTATTGTCATATCACCATATAATTTAGAAGGAGCTTTAAGATTTCCTTACAATTATGAAATTACTCTATAACATAAAAGAATAAGAGAAATGAATATAACATTAATCGATGCAATTATTGATAGAATCGATGGAAGTCTATTTAGGAATAAACAAAATATGATGGTCATCATTTCCTTGTCATACTCGCCTCTCCTCTCTCTTCGTTCGCCCTAGCCGCTCTACCGATTTAGGGTTCCCCTCCTTCCGCCCTCACTGGCCCTGTTTTCCTCTGCCTTCCTTGTGTTTTCTCGAGCGATCGTTGTGCCTTGGCTCCATTTTGCATTCTCTGCCCCTTCTGGGCCAATTTCTTATGGCTGAAATTGCTCCTGGCTCCTCTTGGGGGAAGGTTTCGGAGCCAGTGACGCAAAAGAGTAAGGGTTTCTTCAACCTGGTTGACGATTCTCCGAAATCTCCTTCTAGATCTAGATCTTTCAAAGAGATACTTGTCGGTAAAGCTTCTGCAGGTGATGAGCTTCCATCTCTTACTCAAACTACTTTAATGGCGTTCCTGCGATTTTACTGTCGGATGAAGAGGTTTTGAGGTTAGCGTCTCCTTTCAAGTTCACTCTTGTCGGTAAATTTGGTCTTCGTAGACCTAATCTTGATGAGATACACCAATTTTTTGCTTCTTTAAAACTGTCGGGTTTCTATTCGGTTGGTTTGCTCGATTCTAGGCATGTTGCTATTCAATTATCGAATGATCTTGATTATAGTCGCATTTTTGCTAGGCGCTCGTATTTCATCTTCAACTTTCAAATGCGTATTTTGAAATGGACACCTTTTTTTTGATATAAAAGAGGAATCCCCCATCGTGCCTGTTTGGATTTCATTCCGTAACCTTCGTCTTCACTTTTTCAATTAACAAGTTCTGCATGCTTCAGGATTAATTTTTGGAAGACCGTTGTAAACGGATCAAGCTACTACTTCTCGTACTAGACCTTATGTTGCCCGTATTCTTGTTGAGATTGATATTTCGAAGACTCATCCCAAGGAAATTTGGGTTGGATCTAAAGCTTTCGGTTATTTTCAAAAAGTGGGATTTGATAATGTGCCGGATTTCTGTTCTCATTGCAAAATACATGGACACGCACAGAATGAATGCTTTAATCTTCACCCTGAACTTAAAAAATCTAAAGTTATGTCTAACGGGAAGCTTGGCTTTATCGATTCTAAAAAAATTTATGTCCCGATCGACAAAAAAAATGAGAATAATGAGAATTCTGAGAATCTGGTGGAACCGCAACCCATTATTCATAACTTAGATATTGATGATTTGAATCATTCTGACAACATCTTAATCAATGAAGTTTCCACTGTTAATACTTTACAGTTAACTAATAATCCTATTTTAGATGATATTCCTGATCATGATACCAAGGATACGAACGTTCTTGTTAATGATTGTGTTGCTATAACTTAACCTAATTTGTTTGTTTCTATTGCTTCCATGTTCAATGAAGGGGACAATGGAGTTTCTTTTGAAAATTGTTTGCCTCCTGTGGTTTTAGTTAACAATGCTCTTATTTCTAATAACAATGTTAGTGAGGATCATGAAGAGGGGGAATTCATCCCTCCTTTTTCAGGGAATGTTGTGCCTGGCTATAGCACCGAGAAATCTGAATCCGATGTTTGCAAAGTTACTTCTAATAGTCCTCTTGAGGACAATTTCAATACAGGTTTCTAGGAAAAAGGGTAAGCAGTCCAAACATATTTTATTACCAACTCCCAGATCAACTAGAGCTCAAAATTCCTCAAAACATTGCAATGATTAAAGCCTTTTTATGGAATGTTAGAGGTATTGGTGGTAAGGACTCCAAGCTTCGAGTTCGTAATTTGTGTAAAATTCATAATATTCATTTGCTTGTTTTGATTGAGCCTTTAATTAAGAATATCAGCATTGCTTCTACTGCTAAGTTATTAGGTTTTTCTAATTGTTATGCTAATTGTTCCAACAAAATCTGGATCTTCTGGAATAATGTTATCTCTTTAAATGTTATTGATGATCTTCCTCAAGTTTGCCATTGTTATATTTCTTTTTTCAATGTCAACTATTATGCTTCCTTTGTTTATGCTGCTTGCACCAAAACCAATCGTTTACCTCTTTGGAATCAATTAAGACAATTTGCCTCTATTATTAATGGTCCTTGGTGCATTGGTGGTGATTTTAATATTATTTCCAACTCCTCGGAGAGACTTGGTGGTAATGCCCCTAATGTTAATGTGATGGATGATTTTAATTCTATGATAAGTGATTGCAACCTTAATGATATTGGTTATTTTGGTAGTCCCTTCACGTGGTATAGAGCCAATTTGTGGCAAAGATTAGACATATTTCTTTTTAATGATAAATGGATTGCTGATTTACCCTCTTCTAGTATTGAGCATCTTAGTAGAACTCTTTCTGACCATTCTCCCCTTCTTTTGAATATTAGCAAAATTTTACATCACAATGTTTTATCTTTTAGATTTCAAAATATGTGGATGTTACATGCTGATTTCTCTAATCTTCTCTCTACTAACTGGAATGCTCCGGTTTTTCCCGATAACAATATTTCTGGCATGTTAAGACTCTGGTCTAAGCTCTCTAGATTCAAGCAGTGCTTGAGGTGGTGGAATAAATGCATTTTCAAAAACTTATTTGCTAATATTAAAGATGCAGAGTTTCTTATTTGGATACTATTTTCCAATGCAATCCTATTTCTGATAACATGACCTCCCTTAATCAAGCTAAAGATTCTCTTCTTCTTCTTCAACGTCAAGAAGAATGTTATTGGAATCAAAAGTCCAATGCTAAATTTATTGTGGAAGGTGATAGAAACACTAATTTTTTCATTCTTTAGCCAACAAAAAGAAATCTAGAAGCCATATTCATAAGATTTTTGATGTTGATGGTTATGTTCTTAATTCTGATGAGTCTATTTGCAACTCCGGTGTGGCTTACTTTAAGAATATTTTTACCTACTCGTCTACTTGTTTGCCTATTACTAACTCTCATATTATTCCCAACATTATTTGTGAGGATGATAATAATATGCTTTACCAAACTCCTTCTGAAGATGAGATTTTTAGAGTTATCAAGGATCTCAATAGCAATGCGGTTGCGGGGCCTGATGGTTTTACTACTAAATTCTTTCAAGACAATTGGGATATTATCAAAGAGGATGTTATTAATGCGGTGGCGGATTTCTTTGCTGGTAACCCCTACCCTAAATTTTTCTCTTCTACTTATATTGTGCTCATCCCTAAAATCGAGGGCCCTAATCACTGGCATGATTTTAGACCTATTAGTTTGTGTACGTTTCTCAATAAGTTGAACTCTAAGATCATTGCTAATAGACTTATTAATATTTTGCCCAACATTATTTCTTTGAATCAAACGGGCTATGTGAAAGGTCGTAGCATTTTTTATAATATTTTGTTAGCTCAAGAAATCACTCATGATATCAATGTTAAAATTAAAGGTGGCAATGTGATTTTTAAGCTTGATGTTTCTAAAGCCTATGACAATCTCAACTGGAATTTCCTCTATAAGGTTTTTTCTCTTTTTGGTTTCAGCAGCTCTTTTATTTCTCTTATCAAAAATAGTATTGAAAACTATTTTTTCTCGGTTATTATTAATGGCAAGCATATTGGTTTTTTCA